AAGGGGTTCGCCACAATTGGTGCCGAGAACCCGAAACGCCGGACAACGTATTGGTCACCGAGCGAGAGGGCAGAGGATTCAGAACTCGACACACTGGAGCGGCGACGTTGGAAAATCCTCCAGGTATAAAGAGGAGGATAAGGATAGTGCACTGAAAAAATTCCCAGGTAAAGGGGAAGTCTGCCTCAAGAGCGGGATTAACGACCACGACAAAAGTGGGGTTTAATGACCACAAGAGTGGTGTTAATATGACTGCTACAAAAGCAGGGTTAATGTAAATATGTACAGATGTATGTTATGTTGTTTGTGTTGTCTTTTGTGTACTGGACAGGAGAAAGATATTTGAATATAGAAACTGCTAAAAAAGGTATTTTGATTTTAAAATATGGGCCTAAGGATATGATGTTTTGGAAAAGAAGTTCTGTTTTCGTCTCCACAGAAAATGAGAGCATAAGGATGTATTAGAGATTTATGTGGTTTGAATCACTGAGACCTCCTGAAATGTTGTAGTAAATACCCCTAAGAATACAACGTCCCTATTCTGCAGAAAGTAGCCAGATAGACTGACAATGCCCAAATTCCCTAAAAGATTAAGTGAGGTCCTTCCAGTGGTTACAGAGCAGCAAGCCTGCTTCTCTGAGTTCCGCTTCACTCCGTGCAGCAGTTTGGACTCAAAACGAATGCAGCTGCGGCTAGTAGGCAGCTGGAGCAGAGCTTTTAGGTGGCTGTGGTGAAAGGCACATTGTGCCAGCCCAGTCAGTGCCTAGCCTGGTGGGTGTCACAGCAGTGCCGAGGATAAGAGCGGTGCCACAAGCTGTCAAACCAGAAGACTTGCAGTGTACCTGAAACTGTGAGGGACTCTGAGGCTGGAGTGGCTCTGGTTCCACTTGGCTATGCTAAATTATGCTGACTTCAGGCAGGACTGGTCGTAATTATCATAATAAAAGCGCAATTAAGGTTTAGAGGCAGTAAACAGGCAGTACCGTATTACATCTACATAGTGCAACTTAGGTTTTTAAGAACTGCTTAGCATTTTAAGAACTCACGTCCTCCTGAAAGATTGCTGTATATACGCTTGGTTTATCTAACGTTTCAGGATCCGCAGGGAGGTGGATGCGAAAAGCCCTTGGATTTTTAAGGTGATTGGGTCATTGGCTAAATCTGTGAGAATTTACAGCCTCTTTTACTGTGGCACAGGTGTTGAGAGTTTGCTAATAAGGAAGCGGCCCTGTTTGCCACCTTTCCCATCAGCCCCGTGAGCTGCAGTTCCGGAGCAGACCTTGAGGTGTTGCCTACCTGTGCTGCCTCGGTCACTGGTCCGGCACCTCCGGTGTCGGCTCCCGCTACACTCCCCAGCAACACAGCCGCAGAGAGCAAGGCTAGTCCCATGGGGAAGGCAGGGGGGCCTGGGGCTGGAGCCACCACTATGGGCATGGGCTCCATAGCTGTGCAAGCCGGGAACCGGCGGAGCAGTGTGGACCGGCCTCGGTAGCAACGGGCGGCGCGGCTTCCCTGAAGGGGCAATGTCCAACGGGGTTTACGCCCTGCCGAGTGCGGCCAAGGGAAAAGTAAAGCCCAAAGTTTCCAGCATGCCTCTGGTAGACTTCTTGATGCAGCTGGAGGCTTACACCCCTACGATCCCAGATGCAGTGACTGATTATTACCTGAACCGTGCTATAAATTTGTCTAAGCAATTGTCTAGTTATCTTCTAGGTAATTGGACTGGAGAACTTGATGCTGTGTTGAAGCAGCAAGGATGACCCTCTGGGCAATGATAAGGGAATGGCCCATACCAACACCAGTTCATCTTTATTCATCCCATTTGCCCACATTATTTTCCACCTCCTGTGACATGAGTGCACCATGTATGCCTACATTATCATCTTGAGCAGCACCCATGTGTAGCCTCTCACCTTTCAGCAATTTTTCTGATTGGCTTTCTTCTGCCTTTTCCTTCTTTAAGGAATGGGTGGGGGTAGGGATATTTTTGGCATGCTGCCTAGGTGGATGTGCGGTATGTCTGTGGTTGGTGTGCCGTCTGCGAGCCCAAATGAGGAGGGACAAGATCATTGTGGCACAAGCCTTGGCTGCCTTGGAATGTGGATCCTCACCCCAAGTCTGGCTTTCAGCCTTGAAGAGCTCGTAGGCAATATGCTATGCATAGCCTTTGCACCCTCAAGGGATCCGATAGTCCCATTGCACAGAGGAAGGTATGAATAGAGGAGAGTGTGTAGATACAGCCCTTGCACTCCCAGGGAAGTATTTGTCCCATTGCACGGGGAGGGTGTATCTTGCTTATTCCTTTCCCTTGATCAATCCACACATCATGAGGTGGGGACCTGATTGGGAAATAGTTTTTGCCTTATTGCTCTTAAAAATAAAAAGGGGGAACTGTGAGAAGCCGTCCAATTATCGCCATTACAAGATGGCGCCGGCGGTCCTGCAGCTTGGAGGTATACAAGTCCTTATTTGGTATTGCCGCGTGGGGATGAGCGCCCTTTGCTTGTACATGCGCAATTGAGCCTTGTTCCCTGGCCAATCCCAAGGCCCTGGGCATCAGCAGACTGGTATTCACCAATCAGGACAGTGCCCGAGTCCTTTCAACCTATATAAGCAGATGCCTCTTGGCCTTCTCTCTCTCTCGCTTCCTGCTCTCCCTTCAACCAAGAGGCTTCAATAAAGTGTGATTTGAGAAGAATCCTCGACTCGTGGTCGTTTCTTCCTTGCTGATCAAGGGGTTCGCCACAGAAAACTTTGTAATAAGTTTATTTGATGCCTATTTCCTCTGGAAGTAATTGGTGTTGCCAGGAGCAGATGTGTCTCATTTTCAGCTCTAATAACATTGCAAATTCCATATTCTGTACATCTTTAAAGTGTTTGAAAATTACATTTCCATCAGAAATATATCTCTGTATATCTAGAAAACCTAACATGACTATAAATTTGATATTATTGATAACAATTAATTTGTATTTTTGACTGTATATTACATATTTAAATGAGCTGCATGAACATAACAGCTTAAGCAAAGGTAGACGTATGCATATAGTATAACAAAATTGACCTTTAATTTGTATCAATACACTAAAACCATACCAATGTCAAATATATTTAGATTAACAATTGTTTTTTGGATCAAAGTATATCTCTATATCATATCTCTCTTTGTTCTATAGAAGGCAATTCATTATGATCATTAACTATTATAATCTATACCCTTTAATTTTTAATTGAAAACAAACATTCATAAATAATATTTTGGGAATTTTGCCATACTTTTCTATACTACTTCTCACTGGGGCCATTGGTAATCTTATGGGTATCCTGAAAATGTTTAGAGCAGCACACATTGCCTGTCTGTACTCTATGTGCTACCAATACAGTTTGTGAGCTTCAGGCAAGGGTCTGGAGGTTGAAACACGCAAAGACACACAGACAGAGAGACAGAGACACAGACCTCTAGTCACTGGTAAGAAGCCCTTTATTGAATAACAACACGGAGGCTTATATACCCAACAGTCAGATGGGCCAACAGGTGAAAAACTTATCCTCTGATCCTCAAGGCAAGGCAACACGTGTTCAGGAAGCAGAGCTGGTAAACAACTCTGACACAGCTTTCAATAATTCAAATCAGAAGGAAAGTAAAGATCTCTAGCAGGGAAGAGCAGCTGGAGGCCAGGACTCCAAAGGGTTCCAACAGTTTAGAATTATGATCCTGATTGGGGTATTTTGTATGTTTGGTCCATCTCAGTCAGTAAGCTTGAGGTTGTTTGGATGAGGATCACCTAGGTCATGGTTTTTTTTTTTCTCTTGAGACCTTTCAGGGGTTTAGATTGATCAAACAATATTAACTTGGAAGGATGCAAAGCTTCTTATTTTCTGTGGAAACAAAGCTGGACTACTTCTCCAAAGCAATGCATCTATTAGGTTTCATTGTACAAATATAGTTTTTGACTTTTGCTTTAAAGTTAAGGAATTTTTAAAATATCTATGTTGATTTATTTTATCAATATTTCTCTCCATCCAATGTCTGTCAGTAGCTGTTGTTTGCTTTTCAGCAACCAAAAATTTCAAAATCATCATAATGCTATACAGGAAACAACTTCTGTGTATTTCTTATATTTACATAGATTTTTTTAGTTTACATTACTTTAATATCTTCATTTAAGACTTTGTTAATTTTTAAAAATTACTTATTTTTCTATAAATAACTATACCCATTTCCCTGCAAGCTTTCATATTTTTTAACACACTGTCACCCTTATAGAGGTTTACTCGTGTCTGAATCTGTATTTATTCTGCATCTGTAATGTTTTCTGTTCATGGTTTTTAATTTCTCGGACCAAGACCAAAGTGGTGGCTTTGGCTCTTTGTACCATTCAACTTGGCAGCTTGGCAAAGGTATCTCTTGCTTAACTTCCCAATGCTGCCAACAGGTAGCATGCAGCCAGCCCATAAACATTTTTTGACTGTATGAGTAAAAGCGAAATCTGACACGCAACACCCTATGTGGCTTGGAGATGCCTCTGTGTACAACAGAGAAAGTCCACCATGCTACGCTCAAGCCCAAATGTCATGGCATCTCTGTACCGTGGTTCTCATGAAAGACAGAACTAGGAAGCTGTTTTGGCTCCTTTTGTGGTTTAGAACGCTGTCTGTGTGTTGGTTTTCCTGGTTAATGAATAAGGAACTGCTTTGACTCTATGACAGGGAAGAACAGAACTAGAGAGGGAAAGGTAGGCTGTATGCTGGGAGGGAGAAAGGTGGAGTAGGAGAGAGACATCATGGAGCCGCCAGAGACAGAGGTTGAGAATTCTACCCAATAATCTAGAGTAAAGGTTATCAGTTTGTCAAAATTTTCTAATGAAAAAAAAGGACAGAAAATTAAAGGTCCTCATTTGAGAAACAATCTTAACATGCTATTGGGAAAAATACTTAATTATTTAAATTTAAATGTGATACTCAGTAATACAGCTTTCATGAGTTTCTTACTCCTTTAATGTGGGACTGTTTCGTAATTCAATTGTTTCAATTCACCCAAATTCTTGTAATAACCACTTGGAGTTGTATTACAGTTGACCCAGTAAAATAATTGAATCAGCACATTGGTCTTAAGTTAAATTATGTCTAGGGTCACATATTGGTAACCTAGCTGTTGAAATGACAATTAGGAAAATGAATCAGATGTAGAAAAACAAGTATCATGTTTTCACTCTACTCTGCGGCATCTGTGATTCTCAACTTTTCCATGGGCTCTTTTCCATTGATAACAATTTTCCAAATTTTTTATTTTGTGCTATTTTGATGCACTAATTTTTGTCTTATATTATGTTATTTTATTATTAACCCTTAATAGTATATTTGTTTTCTAATGAGAGAAAATAAACAGGATGACTCTGAATGGGAAGACAGGTGAGGAGGGCTTAGGAAGTGTAGAGAGTGGGTTAACTATTCTGTCAAAAGTATTTCTTCAATGAAAGGGAAATGCTTTGTGGTGTGTTCTTGTCTATTTATGTGTGTATATATGTGTGTGATGTGTTTGTGTGTGTGTGTGTGTGTGTGTGTGTGTGTGTTTAGTCAGTTCTCTTCCTCTTGAAATCCCTGATCAATAGAAGTACGTTTTATCTTCTCCTAAGAAAAAACAAATTTTAACATTACTTTCTTCACAGCCTCTTTTATCTGTTTGTTTCTAAGACTGTAGATGATTGGATTTAAGAATGGTGGAAAAACAGTATAAAATACAGAAAAAACAATCTCATGAACTGCTTGGGAGGTTACTGGAAATCTTAGATACACATAGGCACCAGAACCAAAAAACATAGACACCACAATAATGTGAGGGACACAGGTGGAAAAGGCCTTCCCTCGCTCTCCTTTGACAGGAACCTTCAACACGGTTGACAATATGTGAATATATGATATGGCAATGAATGTAAAACAGCTACCACTGAACCCAATGGCAGTCAGAAGCATCAAGAGTTTGTTTATGAAGTTATCTGAGCAAGAAATCCTCAACAAAGAGGGGATGTCACAGAAGATCTGAGAGACAGCATTGGAGTGACAGAAGGAGAGCTGGAATGTTTCGATAGTGTGTACACTTGCAAGGACAAGACAGCTAAGTAGGGAGGCCAGTGTCATCTGAACACAGAATTGGTGGTTCATGATCACAGGATAGAGGAGAGGCTTACAGATGGCCACATAGCGGTCCTGGGCCATGACAGTGAGAAAGAGAATCTCTACACATGCACAAAAGAAGACCAAAAAGACCTGTGTTGCACAGCCAAACACAGAAATATTCCTGTGGCCAGTGAGAGAGTTGACACATGCATTGGGGACAGTGACAGAAACATAGCACATGTCTAAGATGGACAAATTCCTGAGAAAGTAGTACATGGGTGTGTTCAGGGCCTGGTCAACTGTGGTAACAATGATAATGATCAAGTTCCCTAACATGCTGCCCAGGTACACCAGCAGGAACAGAACACTGAATAGGAGCCTTAGCTCCCAAGTCTCTGCAAAAACCTCCAGGAGGAACTCGGTCACCAGGGTGGAATTGGTCATGGTCTCAAAGTACAGGTTTATCTGAAAAAGAAAAACAACAACAGATAATAACATAAAATATTGAAAGATTACTAGCATTGTTTTAATGTTCTTTATTTCGGTTTCCTAAAAGCTTATTTTTATGTGTGAAAAGTCAAATAATCATCTTTTTGTTGCTTTGACTTCTGTATATTTTTCTTATCATGCTTAATTGTTATTACACATTTATGTGCCAGACTTTCTAATTGACTTGTATGATGCTAAACCCTTAGTGTTGGTTTTCATTATAGTAACTGTCATAAAGCCTATTTTCTTGCCAAATATTAAGTTGATTAATATATAGCACGTTCCTCTTCCAAATAAACTACCTGCAACAATTAAAAATGCCCAGAGAAAATTAAAATGTGGGATATAGTTTTAAAACTCGTTTTATATACATATTATGATTTAAGTATATACATATGTAATTGCTTTACATTCTATGAGTATTTTCCTATATACATACAAATATATATATATATATATGAAAAATGATTGAGAATTTAGAATGAAGGAAAAGACATGGACATAATAGAACAGGGAGGGAAAAATAAATTAAGATGAGCATGGAAGAAGGGGGATTTTAAGCAACCATATCAAATTTTAGAATATTCGAGACTATCAGAATAGGTCACATACCTGGAAATTCAAAATTAAATTTGTAAGCTTTAGTTAAAATTTTCTTCTTGGAGAAATCTCAGGTTTTCCTGAATATCACTCATAATATAGATGACAATTTCGATATCATAAATTCAAGGGTTTGTATAGGTGAACAGTATCTACATACACATCCACAAAAATTACTAGAAATATTGTTTGGTGAGCCAAGCTTGGGCAAAGAAAATTTTATACATAAAACTAGACATGATACTCTACATCTTTTATCCTCTTATGAATTAGACTTCCAGCTTACTTGACACTAATGTATAGTATAGAATGTCACACCAAATTCTCCAAGTATTTATGGCTATACACATACACATATTCCCTGAATAATTCTCAATGGAAAAAAAATAAGGTCTAAAATTTTTAATCAATTATTGTGGTGTTAAAGTACAAATGTTAAAGTATATGAAATTAAAGACAAGCTGTGATTAGCTTTCTAAAATATTGTCACAAGTTTTATCAATTACTCATAGCATCCAAAAAGATACTTTTTAGAAACTACAGACCAAATCAGAAAGCTGCATCCATGGTTTTTTTTCCCTTTTGGCTGAATCATGCTATAGAAAAGATGTTTCATTACATACTAAGAGCATCCTCTCACAAAGATCCATAATGTATATGTAAAGATACATTACATAAACCCCCCTTTTTTCACAAGCATTGGACGACATCTGTGAGATTTTTTTAAAAACTCTTGCCATGCATATATTTCAATTGTGAAACAAATGTTGGAAGTTATATGACAATGACAATACAGTAAACAGAAAATAAAACAGAAAATAGTGTTTCAATGTGTTTGGCATCATGACTGCAAATAAAAAGTGAAACTAGATGATCGATAAGTGACTATTAGGAGTGTGAATAGGTTTGTGAGTTTATCCATGGGAGATCTCTTACAATTAATTGCTTTAAGCAGTTGTGAAAATTAATAGTACTGGTGGGTTTTTTTTGAGAAATTGAAAGTGTGGATATATTCAGTGGCCTTTACCTGTTTTGCTCATTCTATTCGGCAGTTAGTTCTGACTCATTTTTAGTGAATGTTATTTGAATTCCTGGTGAAGTATTTTTTCCCTTAATACTAGATGATTATATTGCAATTATTTAGTCTATTTTCAGAAGTTAAACAATGGTTAAAAACAGACTTTAGTCAAGTATACTATACCTGAAACAGGAACTGAGATCAGAAACAGGAAATGTGTGGTTTTCGAGGAAAGCATGCATCCTGGGGAGAGGGAGTGCAAAGTGAAATGCAAGAAAAAAGTGATTTGGGAAAAGGAAGGCATTAGATATTTGTTTCACTGTTAGTCGGATAAACTGGGAAGCAGATTCTTTTGTATGTAAACACTACATTCAACTATTTTTATCCAAAACCAAAGTATCAAAGCTCAGTTTTCACATAGAGGTCTATCTTTTGAAACCACAAGTAGCCAAGAAAACATCTCTACAAGATATGGATTGTAAATTGATTTACATATGTTGAAGGTTATTATGATATCCATCAAGGCTGTAGTAATGAGTTTATTTTTCTCCCCTAAATTTGAATTTTCTTTTCTTGGTATTTATATACTTAAAATTGACACATTGAATGGCATAATTTTAAAGTCATTTGCTGCAACATTTTAAGTGAACATAGCAACATAGCATCTTTAAGAATAATTTTACATCCTTTGAGTCAAAAGATATCATCTCTTTTTTATTTTGTTGACTTTTGAGATTCAGAGATGGCTACGTGGTCAATAGCTTGTTGCTCTGTCGTAAGACCTGGGTTTGAATCCTGCCAGCCACATGGAGGTTCATAACCACCTGTAACTTCACTTTCAGGGGATATTTTATGCTTTCTAATATCTATAGGCAGTAAACATATACATCCTTCATTGTAAGCACTTGCAGACAAAATACTCACATACAAAAAACTAAAATGAATAAATAAATAAAAAGAATGCCAGATAGTGATGGCATATGCCTTCTAATCCCAGCAGACAGAAGGTAGAGGCAAGGGAAGTTGATGAGTTCAAGGCCAGCCTGAATTACAGAGATAATTCCAGGACAATCAGGGCTACACAGACAAAACCCAGTTTTGAAAAACTAAGTCAAAGCTAACAAAACAAAAGCAATAATTTGACAGTTACCCATTTATCATATCTTGATTCTTTTAATTTTACTTAACTTTCACCTTTTTACTAGATATAATTAAATTAAGTGAAATATTTTATCAGTTTAAACCAAGAGATATAGAGTGTCAGAAAAGAACCATTTATGTCCTATTTATAAGAGTCTAACCTGATTGACCCACAAATGTGATTGAGATGGAAAAACAGATATTTCTAGCATAAGGAAACCTAAGTAAAATAGAAGGACTATTCTTTTGTCAGATATTACAAAATTTAAGTTAAAAAATTGTCTCTGGACTAAGAGACTATTACCAAATAAAGGACTCTAAAAGAAATTAATTACAATTACAGATACTGTGCTTTTGAACACAGAGAAACTCTATTTAAAAGCAAGCTGACAGATTTGAAATCAGTACCACAATAGAGATAGTACTGTTTTGAATACTCAAACTTCAATAATAAGTCTTACTGAAAATAAATTTTTAAAATTGTAGGTATGAACATCATGGAACAAGAGGACTTAAGTACATGGAAAATTTACCTCAAGAGTGTCAGGATAAATTTGCACTAAATATTCTCCAACAATACAATTCATCAGTACTTCAGCACCTGTGGAGACATCTGTATTATGTCTTTCATCCATTTACAGCAGAAAGGATTGTCCTGGAAAACATTATGCTGAGTGAAACAAGCCTAGCACACCACATGATGAGACCAAAAGAAGTCTTAAAAAGTCAAGAGACAAACCAAACAACTGCAAGTTTGTTTTTTTAAAGAAGCAAGTTTTGATAGGATTGGACATAGACGGCGTGATTTGGCTATTGATGAGAAACTAGCTTAATAAGAATGAACATTCTATCAATTGAATATTTTTAAGAGTTGTTTATTTATTTGATATGTTAAGCATTTCCTATCTTTTTAAATTATGTACTGTATATGATTTCCATATATTACACATGTAATTATAGTAAAAATTGTGAAAACACTAAGGACTAAAAAAACCAAAACACTGACGACTAAAGTCATAAGGTTCCAGTCAGGAAAAAGTCTTTACAAACACTACTGGAGTTTTTTATAATTAGTTGAGGGCAGGTGCGGGTTCTGAGAGGAACTGGATTCAGATTACAACACCTACATGGTGGCTCACGCCATCCATAAATCCAGATCTAGGGGATATAGCATTCTTTTCTAAGGGTATGCATGCAACTGATATGCAAAAGTCCATGTAGGCAAAACATACATATACTTACATTTAGGAATATATTTGCACATATACAAACATGTATATGTAACAACAAATAATAAAAGGCATGATATTGAAAGCAAAGAGTAGTATATGGAATGGTTTGAAGGGAGGGGGAAATATAATCATAATTTTACAGAAGAAAGTTGATATTTGAAACCACTTTCAAAGTAATACTTGTATAAGATAATTTTATACTAGTCATATACATATCTTATTATATATGTAATACATACAAAAATATATTAACATTATTGTATATAGCATTTTTTAAAAAATACAAATCTATTATGTGTTATATAAAATGTTTTTTTCCTTAAGTCATTTCTAGGATTTGTTTATGTGTAGTCATGCACATTTCAAATTTTGAATAAAGAAAAGAACATTTGAAAGTACAAGCTATTATATAGGTGACATAGAAACACAATGATTTGGTTTTATATGTGATATTTTAATTACCATAGTCCATGATACTACTCAAACCTTTTAAATGTAACTTTTTTACTGTAGCAATATTTATCTGTGATGGTTTTATGTAAAGTGATGAAATACTGTTTTCACACATTTTTAAATGATATTGCTGATTATTTCTTAGATAAAAATGTAATTTTTCTCAAATACTCAGGACTTGAAATTGTAATTCCATCCCTTCTTAAAACATTTCAAACTGATGTGGGGGATGGCTGGGAAATCCCTAGTAGGTAACAACGAAGTTCAGGGTAATAGTTATGATCAAAGGACACTCACCAAAGTAATAATCATCATTGTAATGAGAATTAAGCTCTCTGTTTTTAAAATTTTCAAATCAAAGTCTTAAATACAATTCATCCTGTCATTCTCAGGTTAATTGAAGTCTCCAGATGAATAAAACTCCATTCTTGCCTCTTAAAAATTGGCTAGTTTTGTTCCTTTTTAATTTACATATGGACATCCTCTTGAGTGCAAAGGTTCTGAGAACACAGTTCTTAATTGGGACAAAATGCCCAAAGGTAATATAGATAGATAATGATTTTAATAGAACTGGTAACGGTGGCCCCAATTAAAATAAAGAAATAGACAAGCAGAAGGACCAGACAAGGTATCCCCTAAGGCATCTGGAAGTGTGGAGATCATGACGGAGATAATGTAACTTATGGGAAGCACGAGGATAGTCTGAAACAACTGAAAATTGTTTGGGGCACCTATGGTGGGGGTTAAGAAAACCAGAGTATCAAGGAACATGTGTACACTGGATGTCCATCTCATGAGGTTATATAGAGAAACAAGGACTCTTTGGGGAACCTTCTGGCAGCTTTCTATGTGGTGTCCTGAAAAAGAAGCCAGCTGTGTCAGTGTGTACTGAACATTTGAGTGGGGCTGAATTGAAAGGAATGGGTTAAATTGTTTAATGGAGAAAATTTTAATTTAATATAATATTAAGTTTGGGATGTGGTTATTTATCACTGTCTATTGGGATTTAATGAGAATTCAATTAATTTTGCTAAAAGTATTATACAGTTTGTGAAGAAAATAACATGAACAATATTAAAGCTATGGACAAAGAGAGTACAGAGAAAACATCTGTAATTGTTTAAAAAATATTAGCCTAATTAAGAAAAAATGTGCTATGCACTGTTGTAAAGGAAAGATAGCTTGAAAGCCAAACCATACCTACCAAAGTTTTTAAATTTACGATGTTCAGATTGATTCTAAAGGAGAAATATGGGGTTGGTTATTCCACTAACAGAATCCATGCTCAAAACAGCCACATAGAGTATTTTCCTAGGTTTCATTACTAGCCACACAGAGGTCGTTTTATCAGTGATTATTGAGGAAGGAGCAACAGCTGCTCAATGATATTTGAGTACACATACTGCTAAATCAATCCTACCTACATAGTTTGAAAATGTCTTGAGTTCACCGTTTAAGTCAAAAGATATGTTACTTTGGAAAAGAGGGTTTGCTTTTATTTCCCCAGGAAATGAGAGGCTGTAGATTCATTCTGCTTTAAGAAAAGTAAAGTGTGATCAAGGAAAATGCCCTGAAAAATCTCCAATAGAAGTGGATTCCCAGATGATTCTGCATCATAGAAGGCCTCTGCTGCAGTTTCCTCTGAGTTCTACATCTAGAACTTCTTTAAGACTTCTGGCTGAGATGATCCAGCCTCACAGAATACAGTCAAGACTAGATCATATCCTAAATTTTCTTTGACCCTCCATAGGATTATCAACACCCCCAATCAGCAGGAAGTAGCCTACCAAACTATTCCCACATTCCCCAAAAAATAGATTATGTATGTTTTTGTTGTTGTTGTTATTTGGTGTATTGGTAATAACTTTTTATGGATAATGATCAGGAAAACAGTTAAACAAAGAGATAAGATTCAGGTTATAAATTTGAGAAGAAAAGCAGGGAAAATGTTATGGGAAAATGCTCTTTTACAATTTAAAGATTTGTCACTCATACAGGTTTAGTCAAATGCTGATTGACCAGTAGCTAGGGAGGAAATAAAGTTGTAACAACAAGACTAGAGAAATTTTGTAAAATGAAAGACAAGGACAGACACCAATCAAGTGTGGAAGAAGCAAGATGAGAATGCCTCAGTGAGAAAAAGTACCAAGCAATGTGGTTAAATATAGATAAGAATTATGGGTTAATTTAAGTTGTAAGAGCTAGTTAATAATAAGCATTAGCTAAGAAGCCAAACATTTTATAATTAATAGAAGTCTCTGTGTGTTTCTTTGGGACTGAACGACTATAGGACTGGGCAGGATCGAAACATCTTTCTATATAATAATAAGTTTTAAAATGGAAAAACTCATAGTTCTACTTCATGCCCTAAAAAAAAATATTTAATATTATAAGTCTCTGTCTGTTTCTTTGGGACTGAAAGACTACAAGACTGGGCAGGATCGAAACTTCTGTCTATTTAATAAAAAGTTTGAAAATGGAAAAACTCATAGTTCTACTTTATACACTAAAAAATATTTACAGCAATGGTTTTCTGTTGTAACCAAAATAATGTTTAAAGAGGCAAGATATTTGGTTGTGGAATTTAAGTAATTTGAACAGTATCAAACTTGTCTTCTCTGTTTTGTTTTGATAATGCATATCAAACCATGTTATTTTCTCTACAAGATGTAGAATTCTTTTCGCAACAATGGTCTTCACTTTTCCCATCAGAATGAGGCTCTTCCACTTTTAGGAAGCTCCCCAGTTTTGCCTTCTACTGTAGGTTATGGCTTTTCTTTTACATTACCAGATAATTTATAATTTCATAAAAGATACAAAGTCAGTATTGGCTTTGTTTTTGTATTGCTGTTGTCATATTGCAGATTAAGACCTTTCAACGCTAATTCAGTTAATACTTTATATGTCAAAGATTAAGATTTAAGAAAAATTTCTATTGGAGGCTAAATATCAAGTGATTCATCCCCATAGCTACTTTCAAGATCCCAGACTATAGGCAACGACAACTAATGAAGTCATTAGGGGCACCATTCACAGTTCCTGTGGTGACATGTCTTGTCCTGTAAAGATTTTCTGCTCTTCTCTAGTTCCCAAGGGAATGCATTTTGACCCTCAACAAAGAGAATTCCTCAGGGAATCTATTTAGTTGTCCCAAGGTTCTGGGATGATGAAATCATAATTCTACTCAGGAGGGGAACTCTGAACTCACTTATTCATGTAATGTGACCACAGCAGGAAAGTACACCTGAGAAATACAAAAGAATATGGTGCTACCAAGAGTACCAATGCTGCATCACGGACAGTAGCGCAACCAGGAGAAGACACATGATTTCCTCTGGGTTTCCTGAGGAATATACTCACTTCTTAGCTTTGTTGAAAATGAAAATTCAGAGTGTGATTAACTGATAATAGTAAAATTGTGCAAAATGACAATGCAGAACACTCCAGGTAAGTGCACTATAGAAGAATTGTATGTGTCATTCCTCAAATGTTTATGTGTAATAGTGGGGCCACCCAAATAACTGCCAGTAGCATTTTTGTGATTTAGATAATGTTATTAAGAAAGACAATATTCTTCCTCATGTATATCTTTTGTATGTAGGGTAAATGACATATCCTATAAGGTAAAATAAAAAAATTGTATATGAGCTGCTTTTATTTTTGAGTATTGATAGAAGCTTTTGTTCATTTCAAGTTCACTTTCTCTGTCTTTCAGTTCTCTTCTAACTTACATGAGTGGAAAAATGTACTATTTTGTCAATCCTAATAGCAGAATTAGAACCACGTTTTGTTTTAGTAAAGTAATAGGGACTTTGTGAGGGGATCACATCAGTCTAGTTTCACACACACATGCTCTGGTTAAATTATTTTAAAACAATGAATGTAGCCTTTCTTGTTAATGATGAAATAAAAGCAATGTATTATCCCTTTTCTAAAAACAATAGAAACCATTTGGAATATTGTCTTTTATATATAGCATAATTTTAATATTACTCTTAAAGACAAGATTTTTTTAAAAGAGAAACATTTCTTTAATTAGTTCCAATTCCTTTTTTATTATAAAATGTTTTCTTGAATTGGATATTCTCCTTAATTTCTCAAACTTTTTAAAATTAGTTTATATCTTGAATAGCACAATTTTTTTACACAACTGAGGGAATAGCCTCAGTAATTTTAGGAATTAGTATTTGTAGCTTCCGGTAGGAAAAAATAAAATACTGCCAAAACACTGACATTACTTTGTCTTTTAATTATGTCTGAGAAAAAGTAACTTCCAACAAAATTTCTCCTCTATATAAATAATATTACTGGGTGTAATAACCTTATGGAATCAAGGATGAAATACATTGAATTAATGATGTTTTATTTCTCAAAATCTCCAGAAAGCATTGAAATAAGAAATGGCAGGCAGAAGAAAAAAACAATGACCATTTCAATTCATTGTGAATTGTTGATTTCATTATGATGTGACATATTTATACAGTGTATTTTATTGTAAAGAGCTCATAATCAAACAACATTGGAAATGAAAAGAATATTTTATTATGTTTAAGAAGATTTTTAAACTTTGTAATCGTCACTTGGATATTTTGACATGGATACATGTAAATATGCCCATGGGGAATTCTTATGACTCTAATGACAAGGAATCTTACTTCTATAAGTTTTTATTCTGATCAGTTTGAGGACATAGGAAGACACGAAAATTATAAAGATAAAGAAGTCAGAGATCAGGAAAGTTAAATCGATGTTCAGGAACAAAATGTCTGGTTAAACTCATGTCCTTATCCCCCTCCACTCATATATTCAGATGCAAATAAAGACCACAGATTTAAAATCAGGGTAGTCTTTTATCTAACAGGGTGCATTGTACTGCCAAGGCCTTCACCAGCAACTGCACCACACACTGATTTTTGTGTCTGATCATTAAGAAGCAAAGTACTAAGTGTCAGGTGGTGCCATGTTCTTCCTTAGTCTTTAAAACAACTTCTCAGGGTTCCACCAATGACCTAATACCCATGTGATATAAATGGTGGAAGAGTAACCTATTGACTGATGTTCATTTGGAAGAAGTAGATAGAATATTTACACTGGAAATTTGTTCGTAATATGAAGCTAGGTAATAAATGTATATCATGGGTGAAATTGTCAGTTATGTTTACAACAGCTTTCATTTTCTCTGGTTGCTAGGGATCACTTAGAGTCTCGGCATAAATGAGTAATATGGCGCGGGCTTGATCCTCACTCGCCTACCACCACCTGACAGCTGGTGATCCCTCCAAGAGCGGTGATGAACTATGGACGGAACCAATAGCACAGCAGTGGCAGAGTTCATTTTTCTAGGATTTCCAGGCTCTTCCGCCCTGCAGCTGGCATTATTTGTGATGTTTCTCACTGTGTATTTGCTGTCTCTAATGGGGAACACTCTCATAATCTTCCTTATTCTGATGGATTCCACACTGCAGACACCCATGTACATTTTCTTAGGGAACTTGTCCTTCCTGGAGATCTGGTACACTACAGCCACAGTACCTAAGTTGCTGGCTACATGTGTCACGAAGGTTGTCACCATTCCTGTCGCGGGCTGTATTGCTCAGTACTACTTCTTCTTCTCCCTGGGAGCCACTGAATGCATCTTGTTGGCAGTGATGGCTTATGACCGGCACGTGGCTGTATGCCGTCCTCTACACTACTCACTTCTCATGAGTGGGCAGATTTGCCTAAGGTTTTCAGCTGGGTGTTGGATTGGGGGCTTTATTGCCCCTTTGCTCCCCACCATACTCATCTCTCAGCTGAACTTTTGTGGCCCACAAAAAATCAACCATTTCTTTTGTGACTCGGACCCGATCTTTAAACTCTCCTGCTCAGACACATTCTTGGTGGAGGCCTTGGGTTACACCTGCAGCTCTGTGGTGATTCTCAGCTCTTTCCTTCTCACAATGAGCTCTTACGGCAACATCGTGGTCACAATAATCAAGCTGTCTTCCCTGGAGGCTCGGAAGAAAACGTTCTCAACCTGTGCCTCCCACCTCACAGTGGTTACCATCTACTATGGCACCATAATCTTTGCTTACGTCCGCCCTCCAGCCAAATACAATTTTACAATTGGAAAAGTGGTCTCAGTGTTTTACTGTGTGATTACTCCATTAGTCAACCCTCTCATATATACCCTGAGGAACAAAGATGTGATGAAAGCTTTCCACAAATTTCTAGTACGAAAGAAATTTCTATTAAACAGAAACATGCAAGAGCTTTGAGAAGGCAATGATTGTTTTGTTTAGAGAGAATTCTCAGATCTCATTTGCTCACGGTAAGTAATTGACATTAAGAAATGGAATTCTTATAAGCCCACCTCTGCATGTTATGTTTTTCTTTAAATTATATTAAAAGTTATTTATAGCTATCCTATTCATTTTGTTTAATGCAATACCATAATGTAAATAATGAAAGCTTTTGCCAATGGACTATTCACAATGGGTTTATTTTAAATAAATATTTTTTTAAGTATTACACCTTGGCAGGAAATCTAGCCTATAAAATCTTTATTAAATTAGGCAGTGTTTCTCCAAGAGTCTGCTGAAAACTCAATAAAAATAACTCAAAAATACATTTAATACTCATTTACTAAACACATATGGTGAGCTAAATACTATGTTTAGCTTTTACAATTATTTGTTAGAATAGACATAGCTAGATAGCCTCACTAGAAAAAAAGATTAGATAAATATGAAATTTTGGAAAATATGAAATTTTAAATAAATAAATATAACTTAAAAAATTAACACTTGTTCTGTGATTAAAATGTTTATTAAGGTTAGAATGAAATGATATAAGAATGGGATATTTAACCAGTTTAAGTAATCATTAGACTTTTATCGATGTTCAAGCAGATGAGAGTGCAATAAAAATTAATTTAAGTGCTACATGCCCATAATCTTATGTTCTGAGGATACTGAGTCAGAAAAATCATGATTTCATGCAACATAGCACACTCTCTACTCGTGAAAAAACAAAAATAACCATTATTATTTTGAAATAACAAGAAGGAACTGTAGGGTTTTCATTGTTTTATATGATTTTTCTTTGTCAATTAAGAAACTTAATGGTCTTTATTTATTTCAGTGCAGCTTAGGAATAAAAGATAGCAAAGTGTTAGAAGAAGCTAATCACAAACATCTTCATGGTGAGAGTTCACATGAGAGCCCCTTTAAAGAGCAGCATTGTGACTGAGCACCATCAGAATGATTGAAGAGAATGTACATTACCACCCTAGATCCAGAATGAAAATTTGCAGTGCAAAAAATCGCCAGTTGATACTACCCAGAGTGAATCTTGAAAATCACAATTTGAGGAGTTTAAGAGACGAAAATAAAGTCACAGTTCAGCTCACTGCTCAAGTTCCCTCGTGAAATGTTTCTTGAACGCAAGCACCAAATCTTTCTGGAAAACATAGAAATTAGAATTTTATTTATAAAATGTGAAAATACATACTATTTGCTGCTTTTGTTTGTTACTATTTATTCATTAAAGAGTTTATGCGTCTATAGCATACATCTGGTTACACTCACTACATGCCTACACTCAACTTTTCTTCTTCCCATTATTAACAAAGCTCTTTTTAATGACGTACCCACCCCACGTTCATGTCTTTTTGGTTGGACTCAAAGGAATTACTCAGGGTCTCTGTGTGGGCATGGCTGTTGAGCTATACACTGGAATGTGGGTAATATATCAGTGGCCATGCCTCTGAAGACAAAGTGTCTTTATTGTTCGTTGGCTTAATTAAGCATGTTTTTGAGAGTCCTGTCACCAGGCACTGTTTCTGTCCTTCTCCATTCTCCTCATTACACATGCATCCATGTTCATGGGAAAAACTCCTCTCCTACCCTTCTCTTCCCCACACACATTTGAGCTGTGATTCTCTTCCCTCAGAATCTCCTATCTGATGTCAGTTTCCTGAATAGCTCCTCTCATTCCAAAAAATCGCAGAGCTCAGAACACCTATGGTTAAACACCAGGTACTTGGCAGTTAACCTTGTTCAGTTATAATTTCACACTTTTGAATGATTATTTGATTGTTCATTTATATCATGCAATTTTATGCTATTTCAAAGAATAAATTATGTGACATGTTAAAAAGTTCAAAACTATAAAAAACACACCTATCCAGACACCTTATTTTTCATTTGTTTCTAGAGTCCCTAAAAGTACTTCCTTGAATTTTAATTTATTGCTTTCTTGATATTTTTTGAGTTTTAATTTTAGGAGTAAGTTCAGAAAATATATAAATTGTAAATTAAATCTTTCTACAAAATATAGTATTACAAACATACAGAATATGGTGTGATTATTTTTCTTATAAATATATATTTGAAGAATATTCAATACTAGGCTAAAGAGAATTTTGTATTTCTTACTTTTTATCATAGAAAGTATTCTATATTTCACCTATTCCTCCAGCACTGAAAATATTTCTTCTACTATTTAAAAAAAGATTAAACACTGAAAATGCTCTATATATGAACATATACATACATACAGATGTATATACATATATGTATATTTGTGGATGTAAACAAACATGGACTGATTCAGAGAGATTCTCAAAAGTATAATTTTTTGTCTAACAGAAAATACATTAAAACTCTAAATAAGAAGCTGATAATATGGCTCAATTCTAAAAACATACATACACATAATATTACACAGACTGACCAAGTCATAGTTAAGAATATAAATGTATATACATATTTGTCTATGTGTGTGAGAACAATCAATGAAAATGAAAAAGGGGGACATGAATTTAAACAATAGCTAAAAGAGGTATACAGGAGGATTTAAAGAAATGAAGGGGGATCATGTAATTATAATTTCAAAAATGAAAGAAAAATATAAAGTCTTAGAATTTTTTATTCCAAAACCAGTTTTGCAAAACAGACATTTATAGTCTTTTCTAAGAGAAAATTTTTGTCAGCTTTTTTCATTTAAGAAATTTTTATTAGGTAAATTCATGTTTCATCATTAGTATTTTATCAGCATAAGCATCCTACAGACATTTAAAGAAAATTTATTCATTTTACAAATTTATTTTACATTCCAACAGCAGTTTTCATATTCATTAAAGAACAAATCTACCAAGATGATGTCCCTTTGAATACCAAGATTCAATTCTGAACAGCAATGACTCGAGTAAAAGGGAAACCACACTGGTAAAATAAACATTACTAATTCACATATTTAACCACACATAGTAATGGTGGGATAGTTCAGTACTCTCCTGTCAACAGTGGACAGGTTGTCCAGAAAGAAACTATACTTAGTAATACGGGAACTCAGCCAGAGAGTGGTCATGTACTTTTTTAATCCCAGCATTCAGGAGGCAAAAGCTGGTGGATCTCTGTGAGTTTGAGGCCATCCTGGTTTATGAGAGTTAATTCCAGGACAGGTTCCAAAGCTACAGAGAAAACAAAACAAAAAAAGGAAGGAAGGAAGGAAGGACAGACGGACGGACGGACGGAAGGAAGGAAGGAAGGAAGGAAGGAAGGAAGGAAGGAAGGAAGGAAAGGAGGGAGGGAGGAAAAGAAATAAGGAAACTAACAAATCTTATAACCCAAGTGTGCCTAACAGTATCTATGGAATATTTCACCCAAACATCATAGACCATGCTGCCTTCTCCACACCTCATGGAACCTTCCACAAAATTGACTCAGTTACAAAGCAAATCTCAACAAATACAAAACATTGGAATAACTACCTGTACCTTATCTTATTACCATGAATTAAAGTTAGAGTTCAATAGGAACACAAACTACAGAAAGCCTACAAATTTGTGGAAACTGAATCACTCTCAACTTAATTACCACTGGGTCAAAGAAGAGAGAAATTAAAGACTTACTAGAATTCAATGCAAATGAATGTACAACATGCCCTAACTTATGAAAAAAAACTAAGAAACAGTGCTAAAAGTTCATATCACTAAGCCCATTCATACAGAATTTGGAGAAATCTCATACTAGCATGTTAACAGTACACCTGAAAGTTCTTGAAAGCTCTAGAAAAAGAGAAGCAGACAAAGAAAAGGAGGAGAAGGCAGTAAATAATCTTACTGAGGAATGACATAAATAAAATAGAAACAAAAAGAGCAATACAAATCATCAATGAAAAAAGGAGTTGGTTCTTGGAGAAAATCAATAAGATAAACAAAACTTTGTCCAAACTAACTAAAAGGGAGAAAAGGAACATCAAATGTAAAAAAATAAAATCAGAAATGAAGAGGAGAACATAACAACAGACACTGTGGAAATGCAGACAATCCTTAAGTCAAACATCAAAACATGTACTCCACAAACTTGAAAAATATAAAAGAAATGGATAAATTTCTTGAGAGAAACAACATATCAAAAATAAACCAAGATCAAATAAATATTTTAAGTAAATCTCTAGCCTCTAAAGAAAAAAGATCAGTCATTAAAAGTCTCCCAACCAAGTGAGCCCAGGAGCAAATGAGTACAATGCAGAATTCTACCAGATTTTCAAAGAAGAGCTATTACTTATACTTCTCAAATTATCTCATGTAAGAGAAATAGAGGAAACTTCACCAAATCATTTTTGTGAGGTCACAGTTAGCCTGATATTTAAAAAACAAAAACTCAACAATAAAAGAGAATTACAAACTTATTTACCTATGAATATTGATGACAAAATATTCAATAAAATGCTGGCAAATCAAATAGAAGAACACATTAAAAGTATCATCCACCATGATCAAGTGAGTTTAATCCTAGAGATGCAGGGATGGTTCAATATACAAAAATCTGTTAATTCATCATATATACAAATTAAAAGAAAATGGAATTCACCATATAAACAAATTAAAAAAGAAAAAACACATGATCATCTCATAAGATGCTGAAATAAAAAAGCCTTTGACAAAGTTCAACAAACCTTCATGATAAAAATATAGTAGTCAATGATACAAGTAACATGCCTAAATATAATAAAACAATATATACTAAGCCATCAGCCAACTTCTAATCAAATTGAGAGAAACTCAAAGCAAATCCACTAAAATCAAGAACAAGACATCACTGTTCGCTCTCTCTGAATCTCTTCAAAATACTACTTTAAGTTCTAGGTAGAGCAATAAGACAACAAAGGGAGATCAGGGAGATGCTAATTGGAAAACAAGTCAAAGTATCACTATTTGCAGATGACATGATAAATAAATAAGAGACACCAAAAAAATCTACCAGGGCAAACCTACAACTGTTAAACACCTTTAGTGAATTACTTGAATAGAAGATTAACTCAATAGCCCTCTTATATACAAATAATAAAATGGTTGAGAAAAAAATCAGGGAAGCACTACCCTTCACAATACATACAGATATTTATGTTATTTCTGTGAAGTTTTTCTCATTGATTTATCTATCTCTTAATTATTTATTTTTATCTGTTGTGAGAAAGAGCTGAAAGGTTTGTAAAATATTCACTTTATATAGGGAAGAAGTATAAGTCAGTTACAATTTGTAGATGAAATTGATAAAGAGAAGTCACCCCTAATCCCTAAATATACTAGTCAACTAAAGAGATGGAACATAATCTGTCTTTGGACGACAGCAAGAAAGATCTGATGGCAAAACCTTGCCCATTAAAGGCTACAATTTGTGAAAATGCAAATTTACTTTATAGGAAATAATAATAATAATTTAAAGAAGACCATCTAGAATAGTGTTTCAAAAGTATATAGAGGATATGTATATAGAGGATATGTAAGCATATATAAGTAGGCTAACTTGACAAAGTTCTACTTGTGGTACTGTGTTGTGGGACCTCCTTCAGCCAATAGCCGTTTAGACACCAATCAATTTTGGGCATGGTCTCAGGTACTATAAATGCAGATGAAAAGTGTGCATGGCCCCCTTTCCTACTGGATTCAGTTCTCATTTTCCAAAGCACACAGGGGATCTATATAACTACCTGTACTGTGAGTTTATGCCCAAATAAATAAACCTTTCTTATACTCCATTTCAAGCTATTGTGTCATTCTTTGATATGCCTATATTTTGGCACCCAACATGGCCTGAGTCTATGCCACAGATCCCTTCCCCTGCCCTATGAAGCTGAGCTACCATTCTGACAGACCTTGAGCTCTTTGCCTTGCCAGACCTGCCCTGTGGCATAGCAGTTAACTGCTGTACCATACCTACATGGTTCTGTCTAGCTACCTGCCTACAGTGTGACCCTACCACCTGGCTGAACTATGACTGACAGTGGCTTCCTATTGCAAATGACTGCCCAACTTTTAAGTGCAGCACACAATCCCCTTCAGCTCGTCTTGCCCCTGGACATGTGGCCTACCACTAACAAAGTTAGGGTTTGCTTTTGAGGTCTAGCTGCCACTATGACTGCTAGGTTTGGGCCAATCTCTGATCCA